ATTTTAAAAAATTGCTCCTAGTCACATAACTATGAAGTAGAGAAGGCGAGAGTCGGATCAAGCCTCTCTCTTCCTACAGCTTGGACTTGTCTTAGATGCTGTGTCCTTTTCATATCACACTACCTCTCTAGAAATATTGGACTTTATTATTTGTACCCACTTTGGACAATAAGATTATTTGATTATACTTTAATTATTTGAAGACATGTACTTTATGAATGCTAGAGAGGTCACTATTAACAAGACTGTGAGACTAACCATGCTGATTCTGAGAGCAATAAAGGGAATGTAAATGACTAGTACCATTATTAGTTAATGTTGATTCCTATTGCTAAATAAAGTACTGGGACTTGTATGCTCAGAAAGGGGTATTGAGCCCAATTGTATCTTCCAACCTGGTTTTGCCATACTTTCTCTCATCACTAGCAGAGAACAGAGAAAAATATAGAACATGTTTATGTCCATAGTTATTTGTACAGATCTGTGAAGATGTCTTTTTGAAAAAGGAGTCATTTTCGGATAAGATCAAGTTAAGGCAAATTGAATTTTTATTTGCTTTGACATAGATTGGAATCAGTGATGTGATATTTTTTTTCCCTCCGTGTGTAGAGAGGAGAAAGAAAATCATCTTGATAAATCTCCTTGACTTTCCTCAAGGTGTTCAGTATCTTTCTCTTTGGAAAAAGCAAGAGGGCATTTTGACACGGCTTTGACCCTCAGGTTGATAAACTTATGCTTGTAGCCTAATGCTATGAAGATTTTGACGGGGACAAATATTCAGTTCCTATATTCATCAGTTTATTCATTTGACAATCAATGCTATAGATCTGGGAACACAACGAAGTCGCTGTTCTCATAGAGTTTACATTCTAGCAGGAGAGACACAGACAATAAAAATTCAACATATAGTAAGTTGGGGGATAATTTGGTATGCTATGGAGAAAAAACAGGGACTTGGAATAGGAAGCGTTCAAGAGGGTATGATTTAAAAGACTTTTAAGGAAGTCTTCTCTGATAAAGGGACATTTGGCAGAGACCTGAAGAAAGTGAGACTGAGTCATGTGGCTGTGTAGGGGAAGAGTTTTCCAGGTAGTGGCCATAGGCCCTGAGGTTTGAGGGTACATGGCAGGCTTGAGGAAGAATCAGAAAGCCAGTGTGGCTGAAGTAAAGTGCTAGAGGGAGAATGGAAGGCAAGGGGCGAGTGAAGAACCCCGGACTGATCACACATAGCCTGTGGACCACTGTGAGGATCTGGCTCTTATCTGTAGTCGGATGGGAAGATGTTGAAGGCTTTCAAGCAGAAGATACTATGATTTAACTTCAACACGGGAACAGCCACTGGTGTTGGATACAGAATAGAATGTGTGTGTGGGAGCAGGGGAGACAGAAGCAAAAGCTCAATGAATGGTGAACGTATTGCTATAATCTGATGGTGGGTGGTAACTTGCCCATAGTGGTAGCAGTGGGAATAATAATTAAACTCTAGATACAGTTTGAAGGTAGAAGCAATGGGATTTTCTGTTCTGTGTGAAGGGAAGAGAAGATTCAAAGAGGATTCCAAAAATTTTCTTCTGAGCAAGTGGAAGAATCGAATTTCCATTTCCATACATAGGGGAAAATAGGAGAGGAGAACATTTTGTGTGGATATTCAGAAATTCGATTTTGAACATGTTGTGTGAAGTGCCTATAAGACATTTAAGTGGAAATGTTATATAGGTAGTTGAATTTGTAAGTTTGGCGATTAGGGGAAAAATCCAGTTTGGGGATTAGAATTTGTGAACTCTCTGTGTATGGTTAGTTTCTAAGGTCTTGAGATGAGGTTGGAGTCATTTAAGAAGTGTAAGTGTAGATAAAGAAGAGATTTACCGTTGAGCCATGGACCACTCCAACATTTAAAGATTTAGAAGACAATTAGGAGCCAGCAAAGGAGATTGAAAAATTCTCTATCGATAAAGTAGGGAGAATTACACACACACACACACACACACACACACACACACACACACACACTCCTTTTCTGGTAAACTTGGGTTAAGAAGTAGGAGACATCAGTCTTCTAGAAAGGATGATGCCAAGTTTTTGTGATGTGACAACCAAGAAACCCAAGGAGAAAGGGGCTCTGATAAGGGTACTAGCACTTCTGCTCAATCTTGCTCAGACCAACAAATGACTTTAGAATTTGGGGTGAAGATAAAGTGGATGATATGAAGTATGATAATGGGGAAAAGAGGGCAACATGGTTGCAAACGGAGATAAAACTCCATAAGTCTCCTTGTGACTATTAATACAATACCTGCTTTTTGAAAAAAATTAGTAACTATAAGTAAATAAAGAGAATAAAATGCACCAATAATATACACTAAGAGAACTTCTAACATTTTGGTATACTTTTTTTCTAGGTTTTTCATATACACATATGTATAAAAATTAGGATTATATTGTATAGACATTATTATAGTCTTTTTAACTTGATATAATAGCAAGACAATTTTTGGAAGATTCGTTTGTTAGCATCTTTTGGTAAGAGGAAAAAGCTGATCAAAGAGAAGATTGTGTTAGCTTGAGAAATGACTGGTCCAATAAAGTAGAGTATGAATGTGTGTGTGTGTGTATATGAGAGAGACAGAAAATTAGGGTGATTGTGGACTTGGTGAATTGTGTCTTGGTGACTGATACCTTGGCTGTGTTACCTGTAGGGACTGAGAAAACAAGGCTGACTAAAGCTTTGCTTATTTTTTATGTCTGGGGGGATTCTGGACTTGTTTTCTGGATAGCTGGAGAATTGTTGGTTTTTCATTACTAGATGGCAGCACAAACTGAAAGGGAAAAATATGTGTAAATGCTTTGGTTGATATCTACCAATGTAAAGAGGTAATGAAATTAATTTGTAATACAAAGTAGGTTGTTTTGACTAAATTACTTAGTTTGGTTTTCCCCACATCTTACGAAGAAAGTAAATTCCATATTTCCTCTATGTTTTTCATATTGTGGGTCCAGTCTAGACACATATACCTTGAAGATTTTATATAGGAATTTTTCCATAAATCCGTGAAAATTGTGAAAAGTCAGTTTATCAGTAAGGTGTTATGAGCATGATTTTTCCTATTGACAACTTTTATGGCACAGACTGATTCTAAAATAAATGCTTGATGAGATTAGATTCAGAAGATATTGGCAAGACGAGAGCCAGTGAAAATCTCTTTCAAATAAATATAATTAATGAAAACAATAGAAATAATATTCAGTTGTAAACTTCTGACAGCAGTATGTAAAGTGTGTGTGTGTGTGTGTGTGTGTGTGTGTATTTCTGTTTGTGTATCACAAAGCTCTCTGGTTATGTATGGGTTCTTGATTGGTGAACACAATTGGCTAGAGGATGGGACTTTACAAGGTCAAGGTCACACATTCCACTGGCCACATAGAGGCAGAAAACTATGTCACAGTCATCAATTGCATCAGAAATTTTATATAGTTTTTTCATGACCATGTATTCTTGGTCACAAAACAATGAGACAAGAGAGTTGGGTTGGCTCAATAATATTAATCACACTATTAGGAAAAATAGGCATGCGACTTTAAGCATAGATGCCATACCCTACAGGGCAATGATTTCAACTTTGTGAATGGCAGTATATACACAGACGCTCACAAATGTACAAACTCAACTGCATTAGACGAGAGAAAAAGCCCTACTTAGCCTTAACTCCAATATTAGCTGAAAACAAGCATACCATAACTGTCTCTCACTTTTTTCCTAGTTAATACTGCGTTAATATCAAAGTTTTAGAAGAATATCAACATTCTTTTATAAATATACCATTATTCTTTGTATCTTTATTATTCATTATAATCAAATCAGTGCATCAGAATCTAGGGTTTTTCAAAATCGAAAGCAACATCTTTACATTTTGGAGTTTGGGAAGTCCATCGGGGGAAATAGTGCAACAGCACCGAGAAATGCACTCACTACATTTCTGCCACTTCACATTGAGGGTCATATGCAATGACAAATGCTGAAACTTGCACCATAGATCAAGTTGGGGAAACAGGAGTTTCTGACCATTGCCTTTTTGCTTTAAAAATCTCACCCTATGATTTCCTGACATTGCTTTTTCTGTTCGAGCTATACCAATCCCATAATAAAGTACAAAACAGTGTAAGTTCCTCTGCAAACCCACTCATGATCTGCTCGACTTTGGAACCCAACTGCCCTCTCATCTATCAAGGATAATTGTGCTTTTATGGTATTCGTTAAAAAAAAGGAGAAGAAAAGAAAAAGGTACAACGTCAAGTCCATAACCTCTAACGAATCACTATTTCCATCTGCAGCCTGGCAATAGCCTAAAAGCAGGAACAGGAAGAGAAAGCCCCTTCTTTTAATCTAAAACTCTTGCAAAACCGTTAACACAAACAGTGTGGATCAGCCTTTCAATATGCAAAATGGACGAAGGTACCCAATTTTCTTTGCTAATAAATTAAATCTGAAGTAGTTCTCTATCGGGGACATCGTTGTAATCTTTCAGTTTCCCCCTTTAAAAATTAGACGCTGGTTATCAAAGCACATTGGCCATGGGAATAAAATATTTATCTAACAGGTTTCAAGTCTCAACGACCACTTCCTCTTCTTGATTTTTCTTAGACCTTTATGCCTCCCACCTAACACAGTCTTCCCTCAACCCTACCGACAGCCCAGCTGACACCACAGATAAGAAGCGAACTGTTTTTTCCGTGACCTCTAAGCATTCTACTCCAAGGGAAAAGCAACGTGGAATGCACACTCAGCAGGATACGAGCCCAGAGCCAGTTTGTCCTCGAGGCATTTCTGCCATAAAATCTAATACTATTCACTGTGTTTTGCTCTAAGCTGATCCGTCCCCTACTCCCCTCTCTCCCCTTCCTGCTCTCACTCTGCACCTGGCTGCAATTCTTGACCCACAGGCACACAGCAAACAAAAGCCCGAAACAGCAACAGATTCCTTTGTTTTACATGCAAATCCTACCTCCGGTAGTTGTCACATCTTCCTCAAAAGCCACGCTTAATTTTTAATGACAGCGATCCAGTGCAGTCCTCCAAAGAGCCACCGGTAATCATCATTGCCTCGCGTGCCTAAAGCCTTTCTGGACCATTAATGTCACAACCCTTGCTAACTCATAGCTTTAATACTCTCTGCTCAAAATGTCTGAAAGAGTTTGGGAGGACAATAGGAGTGACAGGCACGCTAGACAGCCATGCTTGAAATTAGTTATCAGAAGCTCCGTGAAAGCTGCTTCATACTGTTTTTAAAGCGTGCAGGAGGTAGGATTTATTAGCCTATGATAGGCATGCTGTTTCTGTTTTTATTAAATACTGTAATAGGCTGTCTGTTAGCAATGCTGTGATAGGTCCAACATCACTTCCCACTGCTTTCGAATTCTCATATTAAAAAGGGAGAGAGGGCTCAGACTTCCTTAGGAGACCGAGGCGGACACCACCCTGCCTACTGGATCGGATCCAGATCCTCTATAACTACAGGGGAAAGAATTCCTTGTGCAAATGCTATTTTTACGTGGAAAGCGAAGTTGGGAATAAACACTTTAGGGTTCCCCAGACAATTCTCTCACTCCTAGCAAGGGACTCCTGCTCTCCCCAGTTACAAAAAATAAGTGTTCTCTGGAGTTAGATAAGAGAATCAGTCTCCGTAGGAAAATGTTCCTCATCATTACTGAGGAAGGATGCAGGGTATGCCTAGATGCAAAATCTCAAATGATGTATCAAATGGGCTGAATGGATCAATGGGCACATTCATTATTTCAGGCTAACTTACAGAGCTTTGTGTTCCAGTTTGAAGCAATCGTGTGTTCACTGCTGCCAAAGTGCACAGAACGAAGGGTGGGTGGAGGGGGAGGGGGTGATCCATGCTGGGCAGTCATGGTCATGGAAGATGGAAGAAGGATTTCTTACCATTGGTCAGAGAATGAGGCTGGAAGTGCTACTCAGAAAAGTTGCTAAGGACTTTTCCAAACAGGGAAACAGAAAAAGTTCTTGGTAGTTCACAAGTAACAGAGAGAATGTGTTCTGCTTCAACTACCCAGATTTTGTCCTTTTTTTTCCTGCGGTTCGTTCTGTCCTCCTGCTATCCCAGGAGCAATAGTCATGTAGTAGTTGCTATGGAAACTGAGTGGTCCCTCCAGCCGAGGGGCTGAGGAAGGGCAGCAGATGGAATGCGGACAGAAATGTACTATGACTGGCCTATAGCATTGAAAATAGGGAGTGATTAATGAACACACAAAAACTACTACAAAACAAAAGGCTGAAGGAATGACTGTAAATCACCATTATTTAATTAGTGGTCGTTTTGTTATCTGGAAGTACTATTAGGAGCACAGCTTCCATTATTTGATTATATGTAAGAACTGAATATCTGATAAAAGAAAGATACTTTTTTTTCTTTGTTTTCTTGCTTTTTTTTTTTTTTCCTTTAAACTCCTGGTTGTCAGTTTGACTATGTCTTGATTGTATGTGAATTTTAGTTATCTCTTGACTGGTCACAATTTCTGCTCAGGAATAAAGTGTGATTTAGTGGGAAAATCTCCTTGTATCACAAACTGTAAGCATGTTTCATTCTGAATGAACATCCTTGTAGTGGTTTCTCTGAAGCAAAACCCAAATCACAAAATACTGTAATTTGAATTTCAATAACTATTTCTGCTCCCATTATGTTGGTGGGACAGAGGAGATTTTTTTTTTTTTTTAATTTTTCACATTTGCAGTTCCTCAAATAGGGGGGAAAGAGATTTTTTTTTTTTTCGTATTCCAGGTCCAAAACCTTCCACCAGCCTCGTGGTCATGCAAAAGAAACTATTTCTTACCAGAGTAATTAAAATTTCACAGTTGTAAGGAGTCCAGGGAATACAAAATTTTCATCTTTAGTGCCTCAGTTTGTAATTGGCGTAACTGACACCACTGAAGGGAGAACACAAAAATTCCAAAATAAAATTGTTGGGAGGCAATTTTTCAAGATTTTATGCAAATCCTCTTCTTAAATAGGCAGGCATATCATCCAAAAATTTGTAATGGAAGAAGGATTATTTCAGGGGGAAAGGATTTATGATATTCTCTTAAAAAATGATGAGAGGGTAGTATTATAATTTGAATATCCCAATTATTTTTTTCAAATGTCAGAAAGTATATAATGGCAACATATGACAACCTAAACACCATTAACAACACCATGTATCATTTGTGGGGAGGGAGGGAGAGAGAGAGGGGGGGGGAGGCGGAGGGGGGCGGGAGAGAGGGAAAAAGAGCACCAGAACGCTCCCCAGTTGAATATTTCCTTCCAATTCTATGTATGGTTAATTCAGGAGGTAGCTGCTGCTCCTACGGGAGACAAATAGACAAGATTTGGATCTGGGGATGGAGGGAGAGGGCTGGTCTGAGGGCAGAGATGGTTAGTGCTGCTTTAGCGAGGTTCTGTCCCTGGCAGAGCAAAGATTACATGACCTCTCTGAAGACGAAGGGGGATTACTGAAAGGACCCATCAGAGGGGAGTGGGGTGGGGTGCAAAGTGGTTTGTTGGGGGTCCTGGAGGCAGAGCAGAGAGTGAGGAAAGGAAGCTCAAGGGAGGGAAAGAAGAGGGAGGGGGATCTATGAGGGAGGAAGGAAGGAAGGAGTTTCTTGAGGTGGCCTGGTGTCAGAAAAGGATACAGGCTTTGAAATAAGGAGGCTTGATTTCGACCCTCAGTTCTGTGCGCCCATTTGGGGTCTTGTGTAAAAGTGGATGCTAAAATGGCTGTTGTAAGACCGCCATGACCATGACAAGGGACGTGAGGAGGGAGGAGTGCGGCTCTTTGTAAACTAAATGCTGAAGGAAGTGCTGGTTCTACCTGAGCAGGGAGAGGGAGGGGCCAGGAGGAGGAGGTGGTACACTGGGAAAGAGGAAGAGTGAAGGAAGGAAGGGCAGGAAGAGAAGGAAGGAAGGAGGTGGGACTAGGGAAGAGAGTGGTCGGGGGAGTGTAAGAGAAGTTCTCCTGTGGACTCCTAGAAGATAGATTTCTTGTTTGCTTTGTTTTCTGGATCACATGCCAATAACTGCTATTGCATTTTGGTTCTCCCCCTATAAAAAAGTTTCAGATAATAAAGTGTTTGGAGCTCACACCTTTTTCAACAACAGAAAAATTTATGCTGAATTTGTTGAAAAGCATGTTCTACCATTTCGGAAACAGCTGATCTGAGGATTGAATTTAGTCCTTCTTAGCACTGCTGTTTTGGATGGTTCCCTGGAGAATGAAGTTTGGGGCAGCAGAAGGCAGGAACCGAAGTGATATTTCAGAGCTATATTGCCAAACACATTCAGCCGGAGTACCCTGTGAATCTGTAACTTGATAACATTTTCAACAGCATCTGCTCTCTGAATGCACAAAAAAAAAAAAAAAAAAACTTGTTCTGGAAAGAATTTGTGTATGTTAACAAATATTAGGTGGAGAACTGGAGCCTGTGCAAGAATGTTGTGATCACATAGGCAGAGATCTTACAGTTTACACACACAGCCTGCAAGTGAAACCGTTTAATGAATGGAACGAAGAATGCATAATTTCATTATGAGTCATCACTATTAAAATAAAAAAATTGATAGATACATAACCAGAAAGTGTAGCTATCTGTTCCAGATACAAGAGCTAATTATATTTTGGAGTATATAATTTATGCTCTGAGTAACTGCTTTTCCTTTGTTGTGACTATTTTTCTAGGAACAACAGGAAAGTTACTGTAGAAACCACTTCCTTCCTGTTATATTCCTGTCAATGCTGAAGCTGACTCACTCTGAAGTCCAAGTTTAGATCCTTGAAAGAGGCACTCTCTAGTATAAACATGAAATTTTGGCCCTAGAAAATAATGACAAGAAAACAGTTGAAGACAATGTGACATTTAAAGCACATGTCTGATTTCCAAGACACAATGAAATGTCGTTCATTGGTCTACCTCACTTTTCATGAAGATTTTCCTTCTGATTAGAGGTTAAAAAAAAGTTCAGTAAGGAAATGATAATTCCTGAAAACTTTACATGTATATATATTCACACGCATCATATTTGATCGTCAGAACAAAGTTACTGGGAGGCAGGGCAGCTATGAATAGCCCCATTTCCATCTGGAGCTACTGAGGTTGAGGGAGGTCAAATGATTTCCCTAAGATCACATAGCCTGTAAGTAGGTCTTCTAATGCACGATCCAGGGCAATTTTTACTTCATGAAAGTTTACACCTAGCTCTGAATATTTGTCCTGAAATATTCAGAAATATAAGCACTAGAAGAATCTTTTTAACCTTTATAAAGTATAAATTGGAGCTTACTGCCATGTTTTTTTTTTTTTTCTTTCCATCTGGCATATATTCCTGCCGGGTTTTTCACTTTTTTGTTTTGCAGCTCTTTAGGTTTTTAAGGTAGAGTTGGTAAACCTTTTAAAAAGATATAAACAATAAATTTTTACAATTCTGCTGACTACAGAATGGATACTGAGTATGATTCCCTGTTAATGGCAGCAGCAGAACAGGACTCTGATCTATGGGACTGGAAGCACAAACCCACCTAGTAAGGCCATGATTTGGATTGTCTTCCTGAATTCTTTGATTGCATTTCTGTCTGCTTAAAAATTAGAGAAAGGCCTGCAGAAACTCCTAGCCCCACCTTCTGTCAGCACTTAGTCCTTTCTGTAGGTTTCCGTAAATGACCATTCTGTATGCTTGTAGTTGAAATGGGGAAAGGAGGTAGAAGATTATAGAATATATACCTCGATGAATTTATCTGAATTTTCAGAGTAGTAGAAAAATCCTCTCTACCATGCCCCCTCCCAGCAAACACAGATAGAGATGCCTGAGCCTCGCCCGGATGCCCATGAGAAAGCACGGGTACCAGCTAGTTTAACCAACTTTCTGAAGCCATCATTCTTTAGCTGAGCCGTTGCATTTGGCAGACAGCTTATTGGGGCTGCATTTCCATCCTTCTGAAGCCTGTCAGAGTATTGGACATAAGTCAGCTTAAAAATAAAACGTAAAATAGAACATTGACAATTGTTGGGGTTTTATTTCATTTGGATTCTCCTACTTCCCAGGGCCTCGCTCCAATTTTCCTGCTTACTGGAAACGGGTACTATATAGCATGGTAACCCTCAGGGCACAGTGGATCCGTGTGTAACCAATGAGAAGATGATCGCTAGTTACCGTTATTATTATTATCATTATTATTATTATGACTTACG